ATTTGCCTAGTTCTGAGATACCTTTGAGATAAGTGCAATACTCCATATAGCAAAAAGCAGCTAAATGATGCACTACCAAGGCCACAAGGAAACAAAAAGTTCCAACCACCTCTCATGAGGAGCCAGAACCAGACCTACGTGCCCTGCTGGCACATTGGCATTAAAAAAAACCAAACCAACCCAAAACACCAAAACCTGTGGATTATGCCTTAAATCACGTGTACTAAACACACAGCCCTTCCCTCGCAGGACCCCTCGAGCAGGAACAGCGCAGCAGTCACCAGAGAAAAGACACCAACTCGTGCTTTTTACAAGGGCAGAAAAGCAGTTTCTGAGGCCATTGGAGAAGGGTGTTGGCTGGCAGGGCAGCTATCAGAGCAGGGAACAATACACTGAGCTGACAAGTCCTATCTCTTGCCTTTCATCGGGAAATAGCAGCTAGTTTCCTTATTACCAGCTGTCTGGGCAACTCATTTAAGCTTCTTGGGAAACCAGAAGAACAATTAAGCTGGGAGTAACTCCCTTGAAACACGGAAGATGCAGCACACTTACCTATATCTGAACAGCTCATCGCATCAGGTTTAAAAAAAGATGACCTTTGATTTAATGCTAATGTAGTCAATGCTCTTTGAATCATTCCATAAGTGAGTAATAATAATAAAAAAACCCCTCTAGCACAATAAAGGTTAGTGTTAAAGGCAAAGTAAAACAAAGCTTGGCCCATTTAACAGGTTCACATTTGCACATTTGTTTTACCACAACTGAACATCACTAGCAGTGAATAGGCTGAATGACTTCACAGCTCAACAGCCTCTTCACTTTAAATTCAGCACAGGGTACCAGTCAGCTTTTTTGACCAAAATACCATTTTGCTGAATTCCTGACACATGCCAAGAAGCCCATCGCAGATGGCTGGGCTCTTCCCATTTGCTTTTACCTGGAAGGTGACACAGCCAGACATCTCTTGGACATTTGAGCACAGTTTCTGCATTTGAGCTCCTTTCACTCTTTTGACAAGTGACCCAGGCTGTTACAGCCTCTCCCGTTCACACCACTACCAAAACAGCATTTTGCTGCCTTTTATGAAAGCTGAGTGGATGCATCAACAAGCAAGTGAAACGGATAAAGAAATAAATGCTAGCATTTCATGCCCTGAATTAGACACTTGAATTAGGAAAGTCACAGCAGGCTCAAAGAGTTTTTCAGTATAATCCTTTTAAAAATGAGATTGTAAGAGCATATGCAAATATTTACCCTCAATCTAGTTCTGAATGCATTAGCAGAGTGTTTCACAGGGAAGGCGACTGCTTCACTCTGTTTCCTGATGAGGTTACAGCAATCCACCAAGGCTCCAGCAATTAAACCCTCACCTGGACCACCTCCCTCAGCCAGGGGTGTCAGCCCAGCAGGAAGCCCTCCCTGGCTACTGCTCTCCCACTTCTCACACTCCACTCAGTGCTGCAATCTGGAGAAGGCTGGGCAAAGTACTTACTGTTTTTTCTTCTTCCCCTCAAAAAAAAAAAAATTTACAGAAAAAACCCTAGAATTTTAAATCTCAGAAGAGCGATTTCAATTACCTTATATATAATTACATTCAATCTTTTAACTGCTAATTACAAAGTATTTTTTAACCATGTGCTTCAAAGAAAACTGAATTACTTTTACCTCCAAGGAACACACCCAATCACCACTTATTTTTACACCTGCAATCAATTTTGTTCACTAATATTTATATTTGTGCTTGATAATCAGGGAAACATCCACAGTATTCATGCTTGCAATTAGCACTGCCTGCAGTGAGAGGGAGGCTGATTCTAATAAATTAAATAATGAAACCCAAAAGCACAGCAGGGAAGGACTTTCTGGAACAGCATTAAGCCATCTTCAAGTATTAATGACAAGTATCTTTTAGCATGAACAGGCAGCTGGGTGATTTCAGAGGGAGCTACTTTAACAAGAAACAGTGTGACATTGGGATGGAGGTAAAAAACTACAAGCAGGGACAAGGGAGCAGGAGGTTTCCCAATGGTTTTGATGGAACTGAGGGAAGTGTGGAACTGGGTGATTCAACCTGACATGGCCTGTGCCGGTCTCTTGGCTCGGCCTGGCACAGACCAGTGTGACCTTTTTAGCTTTGCTTACATCAACACAATTCTTGCCCTGATCGGGTACGTCGTGGCTGCCAGGGAGAGAGGCACGCCAGCGTGCTTACATCTCACACGGCCTTCAAAGTACCTTGTTGGTGAGGCACGATTCACAGGTTAAGAGGAGGATCAGCTGCAGTCCTACCTGACCTCAGCGCTGATGCGCTTCTCTCAATCGCTAGGCTGGCGCTATGGTCAACTTTCTGCTTTGCTTCCTATTTACAGTGCGCTTGTGAAAGCGGATTTAGCCATGTTCCACAGATGATGAGGACTAAAAAAATAATCTTTGATGATTAACCAAACATTAGTTGTTGTTACAAGGGCTGTTACTTACTTCCATGTGATTTTCAGTAATTCCATGAAAAAAAGCAAGATATTTTATTCGAAGAATCAGCTAAAAATACAGTGATCCATGATAAGATTATTCCTCTTGCACAGAGCTCACTTGGATTTTTCTCTAACACACTTTAAACTCGATGACTGACTGCTTCCAATGTGTAACTGAAATATGTACAACAAAAGGAAACTTTGGATTAAGGGAGTAAAATACATGTTTTCAGATGAAATGCTAAAGGCTCTGGGTCCTTCTTTGAAGCCACAAAATGCAGCTGCAGATGTATCTTCTAGATTCACACTCGTTGTAGAGTGCTTGGGACAACAAATTTCACAGCCTACCAACCAAGCTCAATATAGAGAAATGGAAACAATCCAGCTGAAATAAACACCGGGAAACAGTTATCTGTTTATTTAAGCAAATATAAAACTATCCGTTTGCAAATCTCATTAGGCTTGCATAACTTTCATTTCTATTATATTTTACCTTTTACCAAGTCTTATTATCTCCCAGTGGCCAAACAGGTAGAAGCAAGTAGAATGACCAGTCCCTTCTTTAAATAACATTAGAAAGCTTTAAAATAACAGCATAGCTTATCGGAATGGACACATACAAACATGAGTTGCAGAACAACAGATATATATATTTCACACTATATGTATGTAAACATATATTGAAATAAGTGGGAGAAAGCTTTCAATTTGTCTAGTGATTTTTCAGTAGGCAAGGAGGCATAATTATAAGGAGACCACTAAAGCGTTTAGAATGGTATAGTTTATTGGCTTAAGCTCTAGGAAGAGGGTTTTTTTTTCTTTTTACTTATTGTTACAGAGTCTCCTCATTTCAATCTGACAACATACAAGGGCCTTTACATGGCATAAATTTAATTTACTCTCACGAAAGGCCTTAAGATGCTACCAGAGCTGTGTGAAGTAAATACCAGTCTCCCTAAAGCGAACGGCAGATTTGAGGAAAAAAAGCTGCCACTAAAACTGGGGAAAGTAGCAAACAGTTGTTTCACTAATCCAAGTATCCTGAAGAAAAATGAAACAAACAACTAAGAGCTTCTGACGTAATCTCTTATAAAGTGCAAAATTAAAGTTTTAGTAGGCTGAAAAAAGTGAAGTATCAAATAGAACTATGATTTTTTGAATGTGGATTGTATTAGGACAAGTTCTTTGCTACGTTATTTTTGAAGACAATATTTAGGCCAAAAAGTGAAAAAGCTGCTAGGGCCAAGATTTAAGAAATACCGTTCATCTTTTAAAAAGCAGCAGGGGCAAATGAATGGCCTTTGTGCTTTTAACTGTCTTGTACTACCTCTCGGCACTTAGACTTTTAGATATTTAACTCTAATCTAGTCAGCAGCTCTATTGAGAGAAGTCCCTATTAAAAGCCTCCCCATTCATTCAGTAACATTGTTTAAAGTTATATATGAAGCATACAAGAGAAACATTACAAACCTCACACACAACTGAGATGAAACTTTAAAAGATGTTTCTTATGTAGATTGCTGCACTGCATGACTTCTGAACTCATTTCCATCTAAACTTAAAAACATTTATATGCTATTGATGTTCAATGAAAACAGTTGGAGATGGATGAGCGAACGGTCAGATGAAAGATACCAAAATGTCAGACAGCCTACCGACTGTTGTTGCCATGAGATCCAACAGTCAACATCAGTCTGATAAGCTATCCGACAGGATGGTACAGCCATGGAGATGTCACGACGGTTGGCAACACAAGAGGACATTCAGGCAGGATTGAACAAAATACATATTCCCACACCTTGCTCGAGACCTGCCCTAACCTAACACAGGGATAAATCTAACCTAAGCAAGAGCAAGATCTAACCTACTTTGTGCTCATATGCCACCTTTTGATAACACTAATTGAAAGTCAAATTAATTCTTGTTACTTACCCCTAGGATAAAAATAAAAAGCAGTAGTTCAAATTAACATATATACAGTAGCAGTGGAATGGATATCTACTTACTAAAGAGGGAAAAGATCCATTTTAGTATTGGTTATGTTCACCTGCATTAGAACTGGAACACACACTGATTCATAACAATGTTTTAAAAATATCTGACTTTTAAAAAGCCTGAATTTAAGGTTCTCTAAGGTTCTCTGCATCATTGCTGGGATTGACATCAAATCTGTTTTCAGCTGGAATCTTTACTCTTCCCCCCTCTCTTCTCCTTCATTGCCCACGGTGCTGTGATCAGTGGCAAGCATCTGAGAAGAATTTATGGTAACAAATATCGCTAGCTATTTAACTTGCCTATTTTAACCAGTGAGCCACACTTCAAGGAAGTGACATGCTTTCTACTTCCTTCTGCTAAGTAAGAAGTTCTTAAGAAAAAAGAAGAAAAAGGGACAAAGGGCTTCAGCACCATTTGTGCAGGAAGGATGAGTAAAGCATGCGATTCATGGGATTAAGGCTTAATAAAGAAACTGAGCATACAAAGTGGACAGGAAAAGAAACAGCTTAAAAAGACTGACACAAGAAATTCTGGAATGATCAAAGATGACTTTATAAAGTTTTATCTTCATTCTAAATATACAGAATAAAAAATGTCAGCTTCAGCATTTTGACATCAATCATCTGTGCTAACATCATGAAGTTTAAGAGGGTGGCTTTTCCAACCGAGAGCACGTGCAATGCAATGGGACACTGGAGAATTCAGGTGGAATAGCCTTACCATGAGGGACATGCAACAGTTTGTATCCGATCTGTATTCATTTATATACATTTTGATGGTCTTGAAAGTTATGGAAAAAGCAAAACAGCCACCCTTCAAAATAAAAAGTTACCCTTAGGGCAGTCTGAAGTTAAATCAGGAAATGGAGAGTATTAAATCAACATTTTTGGAAGTAATTTGGATGGACAACATTTGTGTTAAACTCCATTCAACATTAGTCCATCCCATATAATACAACTCAGACATGTAAAGCATTTATACCTTACCTTAACATTTATAAGTTTGTCAATGAATGTCTGCTCTAATATCCAAATTACTTTCAAAATTAAATAAAAACTTGTTATAGTTGAAAATTGATGTTAAAAACTTTTCCCCCATTTTGAATAATGCTGATTTTTAAACATATGGAAAGATGTGTCATTTTTCGTGTCTGCTAAAACCCATTCCAAGGTTTTTTTCCCAAGCTTATTTGGTTTTTTCTTCAGAGTACATCTTCTGCTGCAGTCGTTTGGCATAGCTCTGGGCCATGGAGTTGATTATAGATAAGATAAAATAACAAACCATGACAATCACCAATTTTTCAAACATCCACGACAGCCAGTTTTCCCCCTGAAGAGACAAAGACAAAACAGAAGAAGGAGGAAAATGATGAAGATTAGTGGACAGCACAATGGAGAATTCTCCATTTTCGGTGTGAAAGGGAAAAGCCTAACCATTTTTTTAATTATGGAATTTATCAAATTAAAAACAGGAACCAAGTGCAAGCTCACAGGATTCCTGCAGGTCTCTCTGTAAAGTTGACTTTAGTCCCTTGAAAAACAATGCAGGAGGGCTTGCCAAATACACTGCAGGGCAGATGATGAATCCTTGATCATTACTAGTGTGCTAGTGAAGTGATTTATTATTCCTAGTATTGTTTTGTCTTTGCTAACAATTCATAGAGTTCAGAATTAGCAACGCCTGACTGTCATTCCCTGTCGTGTTCATTGCAAAGAAAACAATAAGGTCATTGGTTAACAATGTTTTTTTCCTAAACTGCATATACTGTGTTATCTTCCAATTAGTATCCGATTCTTCTGGTGTCACTAGAAGTTAATGCGATGACCTCGGCAGTCCCACTTCGAGCGTTTTCCATGGCTACTCTTAACTTGTATTTTTTTGTCAAAGGAGGGCAGCAATGCACTGCACAAAAATTACTTCAATGTGCATAAAAGGAATCTGCATATTTAGTTATTCCAGCCTGACCCTCCCTAATTTAGTCTCCTTTTTGGTAAGAAACGGGCAAAGAAACATGTAGAGGAGCTACAAGTATTAACTGTGAAGTGCGAGTTAGATTAATGGATTTTATCTAAAAATGCCTTAGTATCCTAAGGAATTTCATGTCAAAGTTGCTTTGTCTCCACTGAAAATTCAGAGTATGTTTTTTAAAATACTTTGTATGAAAGGACACGTCTGCCCCTTTGTACCAACTCTTTCCTGTATTTTTCTTTTCCTTTCGAACACTAAAGGCTTGGGGATTTTGTTTCTCTTATTGGCCATTAAGCCACAGATCCGACTGGCTTCTGAAGTATTGATGCTGCACACAGTTTGTTACCGTTTCACATGTAAATGCAACCTTTTTCTGCTTAAATTTCTCTTTCAAAATAGGCAGCTAATATAGAGGCAAGACGTGCCATTGGCCTTACTTTATTGTTTTCTTTATTCTCCAAGAGGTTTAAGTCCAGTTGCATACCATTACAGTATTATTTTTAATTCCCAGGTTGCTTTTAAAATCAGATTTTTATCTATTCCCTGGGCCACTGCAATCTTTGAAAAACAGAATCAAGAGTTACATCGGCAAACCTGGTGAGTCAAAAGACAGCTGGAGAAGGGAAAAATTAATTGGGGAGGGAGGCAGAGAGGTTCTTACCTGTGGCACGCCACTGTCAGATTTGTGGTGAAGTTTTATCCTCTGAGCTTCCAAATATTCTTGAAATGGCTTCTGAAGAGAAGGACCTATACTTGGAATAGCACTGATGCAAAGTTCATCCCAGAGAGCAAGACAAAATAGGGGAGAAAAAAAAACAAAAACAAAAAACATTTTTTTTTTTAAACTTACCACTTTGACCCAAACAGAACAAAGTTCAGACTGAGCTACAGCTCAGAAGGGCATCACTACTTGAGAAAGCAGATAACCACGAAATAAAGTGTATTTCATCTTTTTATCTGATACTTCTGAAAGGGACATATCTCCCCAGATCCTCAAAAAGTGCTTAAAAAGAAAAATATTTCAGAGCAAACCAGTGACAATACACTGCTGGTAACACAGAAAGAAGCTGTGAGCTAGAGCATTTCCTTAAAGCCAGGGAGAAGCCAGCTGAGGCTGTGCACTGGTGCAGTGCTGAGAATAAAATGAATGACTTCTGAGAAGTCCCACATTTATCACCAGCAGTTCCTGTAAGAACTGGTTTGAACCGATTAATAAGGAAATGACTTGTGCTTGTGTCATCCCTCAGTTAAAAAAGAAACTGCTCGCCCTATGACTTGCCCCTATCTTCTCAAAGAAGACGGCCCCTTTCTCAAACTAAGTCCTTATTAGGACAATCTGTGCGTCATCCTTACCCAAAAAGAATGCATTAGCAAATTCTGCAGGCGCCTCCCACAAGTCAGTGATTAACAAAGGAACAAAGAAGGAACTATGAACCCTGTTCTGAATCATGCCATGGTTTATGGCAGATGACTTGCACAAAAGCTACAATACATTACTAAACACCTTGTTCTTACATTAACGTTAGAAAGATCACGGATACGTTTTTGGAACTAAGAACCCTCTCCTACCTCTAAGGCGTAAAGGTGTTAACGCTGGACAGACTCACAGCAGCCTCCAACTTCCATTCTGCAAATACCACAGCCCAGCCAGACTTTAATCAAAAACGACTTAGGTAATTTTTCTTTAAATCTATACACCATGCTATTTAGCAGGAGGTCCAAGGAGCTTTAATAATTGTCACAACACTTTAAAAAAAAAAAAAAAAAAAAAAAAACTTAAATACTATACAGAAGAAATTACCACTAGCAACAACACTAGCTGAGCTGGCGTGGTGAGAACACACGCACAATCCAAAGGCTCCCAAGGTTTGATCCACACACACACCCCAACACTCCTAACTCCAGCCACAGGAGAGTTCCCATTACTGACAAATGTCATTTTAATTTCAAAAAGAACAGAGATTTCAAATTCTTTTTTTTAATTTTAAAGAAATTAATATGGTCTTCTACATTAAAAAAAGTCACTTAAATTTCAACACTACAGTTTTGATTCTTTACACTACTACTTCAGGGAGGATTTAATAAAACACGCTTCAGACACCAAGACACACACAGACAGCTTTACAAACTGATCATCTCCTCTCCGAATGGGCTAGGTCTCTAAAATTATTTTCCTCAGTCTCCTGATTTGACACAATATTCCCTTTTCCAGGCTAAAGCCCAATTAAAAAATAACAGCTTTCTAATCTTAAGAATTTATGAAAATGCACAGACCGAAGAAACAAAGTAGCTCGCTCTCCTCCACTAAATCTATTTCCTTCAATAGCCAGGGGCAAATAATTTTTTTGAACATATTTACAAAAAAAAAAAAAAAGATTGCTTCCCTCGTGATTCACCATCACGATGATACAACTGGGTGAGTAAATTCTGTGCCTGGACTGGTAAAATTTCAGGGGGGAGAAAAAAAAAAAAGCAGAGACTAAAGCACGTCTATTACACATTTTACACAAGAATATGTCGACTTGCACAAATGATTTCCAGTTTTTCAGAACCGTCCCTCACGAAGCTGACTTTATTCGTAGGAAAAATTCTCCTAATGACTCGCTGATCAGCACGAGTCAGTTTTAAAAATGAGTTACATTTTGAGGTTTCTTTTCTTTTTCAGATGACACTTGGAGGCCCGGAAAAGCTACTGAGAGGTAATAGTTTACTTTTAAACTTCTGCATGATTATGAAATGAATATTTAAATGATGAGAGATGAATGATTAACAGAATGGTTGTTCAAATGCCTCCATTTTTTTCTGAAAACTGAACTAAGTCAGTGCCCAACTAGCATTAAACAACAGAACAAAGACATGAAAACCAAGTTCAGACGGCTTGAAGAGATCCTGCTGCATCAACACTGTATTTCAGAATTTTTTTCACTAAAAATAGTCAGCTTTTTTTTTTCTTTTGTGAGCACGACTAAGAATTAAGTGCACGAGATTCATTTTATTAAAGCTATTTTGAAGAACTGTAAGATCCTGAATGCAAGAACCTTGGATTCTAAAATTCTGCAATGTTTTGCACATTCGCAGAGACTTTAATACCGAAAAAAAGGTGCATAAATTTAAATAAGGAGTAAAATGAAGCAGAGTAACATCTAGAAAACCATGAATCCACAGTACTAGGAATAAAATTCTTGAATCCCATTTCAGTGGGGCAGTATTGGTTACTTGTGCTCTTTTGACAAAATTCAATCATTTAATCAACCAGCTAACATATATGTCACCTAATATCCACAGCATAGCCATCATCGTAGATCTAGCAGTCTTAAAAATCAGTTTTCATTTTATTTAATTACAAACAAGTGAGCGGTAACCCCCTGCAAACCTAGTGAAGTTCAACTCACTAACCCTGTCCTTGTCAAAGGAGGAGGGGGAAGACTTCAGTATAAATTTTCCAGGATTACACCCAAACCAGACACAGGTACACAGGCAGAAGGAGCAGATTTGCATCATAATTCTGCGCCACTTAGCAATGACTTTAAGATACACCTTCAAAAGACTGCTGTAGTTTCAGGAGTCTAGATGCAAACCACAGGCATATTTACACATCCGACTTAAGAAGGGAAGATGGCTGGAAGATAACCCTGTTTGTAGAACAATCTAAACCCAATTCCTTGCATTTTCCTTGAAGGATCAAGCCTATTGTCTTTCAAATAAAGAATATGAAAGGATAAGAAAATAAAAGGACCTTAGTGCACAACAGAACTTCGCTCATCCACACTTTGTAGTCTCTATCTGCCAAAACAAAACACACAAAGAGCCCCAAACACACAACCTGCTCTCTCTTCTTAAAGGCTTAACATGTAGGTCTTAGTGAGCTGCTTAAGGGCTTCAATTTAAAAAATAAAATAAAATAAAAAAAAGGTCATTCACTAGAAGTTGTCTGTCAACATAAGCCATGAAACACATTTCACCAGTTGCTATCATTGTTATTAATGAATTTTGCACCTAATCAGCAACAAGGATGCACTGCTTGGAAGAGAGGTGCTGTTCCTGCGTATTCTGTCCTTTCAACAAAATTTACTTGAAAAACAAAAAGACGAGCTACAGTTTTACCACAAGATTCAGAAAAAAAATGCTTTGGATTTTTTTTCTTTGAGGAAAAAAAACATCTGAAGAAATTTTGATTCAGAAGAAATTTTAGAAACAGTTAACATTAAACATCATTTTTTGTTTTAATTCATTTCTGATTCTCTACTAAAATTGAATCTTTCACAAGGAATTGAAACTGAAAACAGACTTCCAAAAAATTGCACTAGCCTTTGGTACAGCCTAAATTCATTAAAATCATAACATTTCAGTAGAAAACATTACTTGCATTCTAGTACTACAACACAAACACCCATTAAGAATTTTGCTTCACTGAACAAAACACTGCTGAAGCCTGGTTTCAGAAGTATTACCTGGCATTTGTAATTAAACAGATGCATCTGCTTTTTTTTTTTTTTTTAAGAGCCACAATTTCTACCCAAATCAAAAATTATATAGCTTTTTTTCCCCCAACAAATAAAACAAAACTTCACATCTATTTGAAGCACCACACTACAGAGATTCAGCAAAGCTGTTCTAGGATTAGTTTAAAAATTACACCATGTACAGATTCTGACAGTATGAGTCCTAAAACTTCTATTCCAATTACAGCAAAATTGTGTTTATTAAAATACACTGTACAATTTATTAATTTACTTTTCAAAGAATGACTGTCAATATTTGAACCTCAAATGCATGTCACTAGTCATGAAGTGGTAGGGAAAATTTTTGGGAAACTTATCTTTTTAACAGAATCTTTGGAACCACAGGTAGGAGTTTTTTCAAATGGACGGGGATGAAGCACCACACCACAAGGCGGGAAAAAAAAAATTCTCTATGCCAGCTTAACAAAAAGGAGAAAGTTATTCAGTACTTCAGTCAATTGCATTTTTACTAATATTAAAAACACTTCTTTAAAACCATTTAATCATGATATTCGCACTTCTGAAAAGCCTATTTTTCCTCTTACAATATACAACCTATACTTTAAGAGTATAGGTTACTCTTGAGTTATTGAAATTTCATAACCTATGCTTTTAGAGTTTGTGAACGCTCAAATAATTACACGCTGTGCTAAATGCTGAAGTACAGTTCTCTATCAAATGCTGCATTTTTGTATTATTGTGCTAACATTTCACAAAAAAAAAAATCTATCAGTCCACAATTTAGGATATAAAGTTCCCATCTTATAAAAACCTCTGCACATGTGCATATTCGCCTACTTTTTCAGAGAAAAATGTTAGAATTAGCAAGTATTTTCAAGAAACACTGAAGTTGCCATTGTAGACCCACATTTTAGGAACATTAATATGGTGGGGTTTTTACTGCTGATGAAAGTTTCTCATTTTTAAAAGGCCTCTATCAGCAAGTGATTAAGCAGCTGATTAAGCAGTTCTTAAACTCCATTTATTTTGATGGAAATTAAAAATATAAATAGGAAGTTCAGTGGCATTCAGTTCTGAATTTTGTACCCTATTCAGCAGCTCGTATGAACAACTGGAATCGGTCCCCAGTTGTGATGATCAAGAAACATTAAGCACTGCGGGTTTGAAACCATGGAAGTCCATTTTATGGACTATATCATGGAAATAATAATCTGAAGGGAAAGGAGAACACAATAATTGAATAGATGGTGCAAACAAGCCACCAGGCTCCCAGGCTGAAACACACCGAAGCCCTGCTTGGA